AGGCTGGAACCTATCTGCAGGCTGCGGATAGTGCGTTGACACTTCTGCTTGCTATAAATTACCCTAATATAGAGCAATAAAGGTCTTTGGTTGCTGCTTGCCAGAGTCCGTGCCGTTAATCCCCGCAACCTAGCAAACAATTCTTTGTTACAAAGCGTGGTTAATTTTTGCCATTGGGAAAGGCCAGGCATATCTTCACTGGCAACACTTCATAGCTGAAAATCATAAAGGATAAAAGGGATCATTCACCATGACCTGAGCAGGTATTAGTCTGAGCTAACTCAATATCTATGAACTACCACCTCCTTTACAGTGACTCAGCAGTCTAAAGGGGCTGGACGTCCTATGGATTTCTCTTTGAGCTTCCCCAGGAAATACGACTTGCCCATGAGGGCAAAAATACATCTTCAGAAACCCATGTATTGCCACTAAATTTCCTCCTAGATCTTTCTTGTCTGACAGTAGTGTGGAAGACTACTCAATAAAAGAGAACAAAGAAGGCGAAAGTACCCACTCTGATTTTATCTCTTTGATTTTGTTATTAGATTTGTGGGTAGTGAGGAAAATGTTCCTCTCATTTTCCTTTCTTACAGTTCTTCTCTGCTACCATTGAGTCTTCCTTTCACAGAAAATCCTGCGGCTTATTCCTAATATTACCATTTTAAGGTTAAAAAACATCTAAGATAATTACAGAGATGCTGAGGAGATTCAGATGTCAGGAGTAAGAATTTCAAAGTTTAAGATCTGTGTGAGATGGTTAAGGCTTATGCTACTAGAAAAAGAAAAAAGTGAGGGAATATATGATTTGAAGTTTCCTAAAACTAGATCATTTTTTGTTGTTTGCTGCATTCTCTGGCAAGAGTAGAAGAAATCAGCTTAAGCTGCAGCAAACAAAAAGAAACTTTTTAATTATTCGAATGGCAAAACGCCTCATAGGCTACCAGGAATAGAAGAATTTTAATTTCAGCTTAGCAACTGACTTTAAGGTCAGTTTAGGTCAGGGGTTGGCAGCCTCTCACAGGTGGTATCCCATTTTGTGTTCTCTGTCCTCAACTCAGATATAAAACTAATACCTATGTGAACCAATTCCGTGGTTCTGACGACCCTATGTGGTGAACTTTCTACTGTGGGTTTATCAAGACCATCCGCAAAATTCTTATCTCACTAAACATCACATTTTTTGTGTTCTGTTGAATGTTGTATTTTTCCCAGCCTGATGTAGCACTACGCTACAGAGGTAGAAACCGACGTCTCCTCTCAAGGCCAACCTCTGTGAGCTACCAGTTGATATGAAGTTGTAGATAAGGAAAAGGCTGTATTTCACCCAATGGAAGCATGGGTGTGATTGTGGAGATCAGTGTTTTATGATAAGACAACCATGATATAGCGGAAAATGTAGGTCACTGTTCTGGAGCAAACTGATAGAGGAGGAGGGAAAAGCTAAGACCACTGAAGCTGATTAAGCTCTAGAGAATGTAAATCTTATTTACCTGTGCAATCATGTCTGCGGTTTCAGAATAACTGCGGCACTTTTTCACAGCTGAACGAGCTAAAAAATCATCAATCAGCCTTACACCAATGCCATATCCCCTAAGGAGAAAACAAAGAAAGTTAACACTCAAAATGAGGAACTTCTTTCCACCCACCATCTCCCTAACCTGTCTCTTGTGCTTTCTCAGCAAAACAGCTGCGTATTCCTAAATGAATGGCTTTGAGGACAACAGATTTTGCTGCTCTAGATTCTTCTTTCTACCACATTTTGCAGCACAGTGGGATTGCTGTTCATGTAGTCATTTAAGGAGTCATACTCCTTCAAGCACGATACTCCTGGCAAGGATGATATGAATGTTGTTTATATACACATTGTCTATACATACATTTATATTTACATATATGAAAAAATATTAGATGTTAGATATATGAGTATAATATATAAATAATACACCTGATTAATACTGCTTTCTCACTAAAAATAGGATAGGATAACATAGCACAGGATTTTCTCCATTCCTCTGTGGTCCCCAGAGTTCATCTCACATTGTCTCTGTCAACAGGCAGAGATGCCCTGTCCCTTCAAGTCACAGCATTCACCTCTGGGCTGGTATGGAGTTCAGCAAATCCTGGGCACGCTTATTGCAGCGTTCAGGTGCCAGGAAAACCCATAGGAAATAGACTCACACCTGACCTCTTTCACTTTATCCTCTTATCTCTTCACCTCATTTTTCGCTCTTCCTCCACAATTCCCTCTTTGTCTTTTTTCTAACATGTTCTCTCCCTTCATCTACTAGTTGCAGAAAGAATCCAAAAGTTGCTAGTTAATATACAGTTTCAGTACACCACCACCTTCGTTTTGTATTTAAAACACTACAATTTCAGAGAAATGAAATAAAAAAGGATGGAAGTTAATGGAATATTTTATAAAACAAATATTCATTCCTAGCTCTCACACATTAACAAAGGTCAGTAACTACATAGTGTGCAAAATAGCTATGCCTCCAAGCATTTTTTGGGACTGGGAAAGAGATTGACACAAATGTTAGGAAGGAATGTGAAATTCAGACATTTCAACTCAGAAATGTTTTTAGGGTATTTTTCCTTTCCATTTATGTGGATGTTGGCAGTCTCTGCCTGTTTGTCAGAGGCCCTACACCCTCAGTGAAGCAGCCTGAACTCGATGGAGTTTATTACTGATTTTGTACCACGTCTTTGACAAGAAGCCAAAAAGTGATCTGATGTCTAATGTGATGACAAGACCGAAAAGTGGTTTTCACAGCGTGAAGTTTAAAATTGCAGTACGTCATGCATCAGAAAACAATGAAATATTTATTTATTGCCTAAGTATCAATATCAATAACATTGGTATATATGTCATCAGCAGTTAGCAAGGTATGTGTTGGTGATGTACAAGACTACTTACATCCTTTTCAACTTTTATGCCTTAGATTTGCAAAGTCAAATGAATAATAAATTGTCAAGCAGCTATTTGGCAACTGTACAGTGAAAAACACCCTTCTCACTACAGATTATATATGTACATATAAGAGAGAGAGAGCTAAGAATACTGTCCCCAACTGTCACAGGTCTGCAAATCTATAAGGTTTCTTCCTCAAGCTGGGCTGTTTTCATCTTCACAGAAGATGGCCATATTGCTTGTCATTATTTTATCAAGTCTTTCTCAACACAAAACCAAAAAGATTTTATAGAAACAGCTATAATAATAAAAACACAAGGAGTAAAATATGTCTCCACATCTTCCAAAACTGCCCTTTAGTAATTTCTACTGTAGCATCATAAAGAAGCCTGTGTATTTTTGAAATGTATGATTTTCATCAGAGCTGAATGAAAGATGAATATAAAATAAATATCTGAGGGATGTTGTCCCTTCTCAGTTTGTGAAGAAATTACTTCTCTCTTTTTCAATCAATGATTTCTTTTACTCACTTCCATCGATAGCTATTGGACTATAGCTTGTTTGCAAACTTTCAGATTAATAGTAAAGTGGTCAGGTATTCTGTCCACTGTGATTGTTGTGAATCCATTTTGCATGTCCATTTTTGCCTGAAAACACAAGCCTTACTCTTCTGCTGAAGATCTTAGTATATCTGCTTGTTAACCAGCTCAAAAGTTGTTTCTTGCTGATTTTCTGTGACACCATTTTTACTGTGATAATGCCTAGGAATCTCAGTCAGGATGACAGGATCCTATAACATAGGATCTTCATTTTCCAAAGAGGTTATCCATGTAAAAATCAGTTCCTCATTGACCAGTTGTGCTATCTCACTCACTGCTGTATCGTCTTTTAAAGGTGAGAGGCCTGTCTGCCCCTAACCCAGGGAGGGGGGAAGAGAGCCACCCCACAGGGGACAATTCAGAGTTATCAAGTCAGACACCTGAATTACCCCCTCGGGGAAGGCGACTGACTACAGAAGGAGGCTGCCTATTGACTGAGTCACCTAAGCCAAATCCCTGCAGCCTGGAATTGTGACTACTTCTTAGCTGCCCAAGTCACAAAACCATGGTGTAGCTAGATGAGGGGGAGCTGTGGGAAGGCCACATCGACAGTGAACACAGAAATGCATGTTAACTAGAAAATACCTGTGAGAAACAAAAAGCTTGTCTAGTTTGAAATAACATGGGTACGAAGAAATAGAAGAGGAGAGTTAACGCTGAAGTTGACATTGAATGCATGGATGTAGGAGATGAAATTTAGAAGTTTATATTATTAATTAGCATAACAAAGGATCAACAAGGAACAAGTGTAAGCTATCGAAACAATCCTGACACATTTCTTCTGAGAACTCAAAAGCTAATTGTTGATCTTAATTCACAAATTAGCATTATTTCTATTGACAGAATATTGAACTTTATCCCCGTGATCTCTGTAATCCTAGACAGAGTGCTGGAACTCATAAGCTGAAAGGTAACATACAGGTGGACAAATAGCATTATCGATGAAGTTGAACATTTAAAGCAGTACTTACATTCTATCTAAACAGGTGTTGACATCTTCATCTTTTTCATAGTCCTTGCACAGCTGGGCTACCAAAGCCCCATACGTGAGTACAAAAAGTTCTCTGCTCTGCCAGAAAAGGTGGAAATCGAAAATGAAGCAAATTAGAATCAAACTTTCCCACACTTTTGAGCTGCTACTGTATTAAAAGCAAGCAAAAATAACATTTACATTAATAAAGAAACTTTTGTCCATGGATGTGTATTCACTGAAATCCACAATTCAAGTGTGACAGAACCTGAATTGATCATCACTTGAGTCTCTGCACGGGGATTTTGCTTGTCAGAAATACCATTTCTTGGGATACAGCTATTTTCATCAGGTGCATTCTTGCATCCTATAACCACACGTATGTATGCTGGATTGATAAATGCTGTCAAGCGCCATCCAAGATGAATGACAAGCATTTAGTTGCAGGAAGAATAATAGAGGCAATGAGCTATTTGTCCTTTTATAATAGGAACAACAGCATACACACTGAAATTCCAGTTACTTCACAAAGGTATGGTTGATCTGATTCAGATCATCAGTTGCTTTCCCCCTCCAAAAAAAAGTAGATTAAAAAATTAGCTCAGAATAATAAAAACTACTATAATTCAGCACAAGTGTAAAGAATAACAACAAGCAGAGTAGAAAAGAATCAGTCCCATTGACAGTTCCCCTTCTTTATCAGTCTTTACAAGTAACTTTAATCACTGTCAATACTAGCTCTCCAAATGCCTGGACAATCTCATTGTGACATTATTTCTGTATCTTAGTACAGAAGATGTGGTTGGTATGGCTCCACCGCATGAGCAAGATAAAGGGGACGGGTGAGGATTACAGCTGCCTGCCCAAGGAGCATGGAGAGCAACTGAAGAGGTCAAAGGCATATCTCTGCACAGATCCTGTCACAAGCACTAGTCTGGGATCTTCAGCTGTGCGCCAATCTGGAGGAAAGTTTTCTTCCCTCCCTGCCCTGCCACATCACCTCCATGGCACTGCAGAATTGAATGTATTTAGCAGGAGTAGCAGCTGGCCTTTAGGCGAGAGACTAGGTTGACTCTCGCTAAACTTGGACAGGAATTAATTAAAGGAAGTGCTACAGGCCTGTGGCATGTGGGCCGACTAGAGGTGCTTTTTCGTTTATAGCCTGTGGAAAAATAATAGTGAATACCAATGAAAACAATAGAACAAATCACACAAGGAAAGGAAGAATGGCTTGATGGAAAGACCTCTTCCCGCTCCCTTTGCATCAAAAGCTTGGAGTTTAATCAATGTTCCCATTTTAACAAGTCACTGTTCAAAATCTTAAGTAGTATGGAACCATTTCCTAAACTCGCCTTGGTGATAGCTCCTGTTTACAATAATATTGCACACTTTGCCAAATTCTCGTTAACAAGTTTTTAATGGAGTAAATGGATGTCATACAGGTTCTGTATTGCTCTAGTCTCAGCAAAAAGTCTGTGTTGTAATAAGACAAATGCCTTAGAGAAACTTAAGCATACTATATCAACATAATTGTATTTATCAGCCACTCTTGCAATCCATTAGAGTATTTTTTGTCCATAAACTTACGCACATTAACTTTAATTATATTATATTCTTCTATTTCTTTTTCAGTGGAGACCTCTGTCCCCTTTTCAGAAATTGACACAACATTGTCTTAAAGCCTTCTGGAACTTCTCCACTGCCCCAGCTCCTATTAAGGCTCTAAGTTCCTGAAGGAAGACTTTTGTGGAATTGAACCATCCAAACACAGAACAGAGATCTCCTTCTCTCTGTGTTTCATTTAATGACTATCTAACCACAGAGGCACAGAAACTTACCTGGGATTTCTATCTTTGACCATAAATCTCTCTAAGCACTTAGACCTCTGCTTCTGAACAGATCGCAGTCTCAGAAACTTTGTGCCCATCTTTCCTAAACCTGTTCAGAATCTCAGCACTACAGATAAAGTAAAAACATGCAGTTAAGTGCCCAGTCAGCGAGACAGTCACTTTGTTTTTATTATCAGTCTTCTACAGTTGTCTATGTTCTCTTTTCCTTACTAGCAACTTCCTCTCTCTTCAGTTTGTTATACGTATGTATACGTAGATACATGTGTCATAATTATACTTTTAGATACAAACATATTCTCTTCAAGACACAGTGCTATTATTGGGTTTTTTAAACTACTGTGGCCTTATTTCCGCATTATGGCACTTTGGTTTTTTGGACTTGTGGTAAAAATATTCCTAAACAGTCAGAAATTTTCAACCACAGATAGAGATTCTGAGGAAACTTGCTATCTGAATTTTTCGTATTTAGACACACCACTGCCAGAGAACAAGAAGGAGAATAACCGGTATCTTTACTGGCACAAAATACTGCTTTTTGTGACCATGCAGTTTAAGAAGGCCTCTTGGGAAAATCTTGCATGCAGTATATTTAAAACAACTGCTGGAGCTTTAGGAGAATATTAACATGAAGTGCAGAAAAAGAAGGAAGTTTTGGTCTATATAACTTCTGTTATATAGACCAGTCTATGTCAGGTCTATATAACACTGACAGAATTCTGTGCTATGTGACCAATGGTCAAAGCCAACATTCAAAGACAATGGTTACACTTTTACCATTGTTTCCCCAAGAATCAGATTTTGGCCTTAAAGCCAGATGTTGAGATCCTGTGATGGTGCACTCCCTGTGCATAGAAAAATCACAACATTAGGAGGATGAAGAAGGACGCCTGCTCATGCAACATCACCCCCAAAAGAAGACGTGGTCTGCTATGTAAGAGGCACACAGTTTTTAATGGAGTAAGTACCTAGTGGGTACCAGGTATGCTGCGGTCCCAGATGAACCATCTCTTCCCGTAACTGTTCATGGGGTAGAGATGTGGCTGGCACAGCTTCTTATCTCCAAAACAAGAAGAGAGTTTTGGCCTCAAGGATTCATGTTGAGGGCAGGACTGTCTGAAAATCATTTCATGTCATGGTCAAGGTAGCTGGAGAGATATGAAGGCTCCTAGAGCAAATCTCAGTATTACTGCTCAGAGTCAAACAGACTCCAGGTCCCATGGGCAGGCTTTTTTATGTCACTGCTTAATAGCTGGCAGCTTGTTGGCAGCTCACAAGGGGGTCCCACTGTAGCCATAAATGCTGCCAGCACCTCTGCTCTCTCATCCCATCCTTTCAGTACTTTCAGGCTATCCGGAAACATGACTGTATAAAATACATCAATACAATAACAGCTTATTCTTACTCCATGCACCATTTAATTGCACATTACAAAAATGTCTTACTATTTTGTGGTTCTCCTGCTTTCTTCCTGGTGGCCGAGGCATGTTGCTTGTGTAACGCTTGATGCACTTGATTGTCAGTTTATGTTTTTTCTTCCTCAAGCAGCATAGTTTTCTCTCAGTCACTGTATTTCCTCTTGCCCTTCTCTAAACTTTTCTCCTTTCTGCTCTTCTGCCTTTTGCATGAGATGTGTTTGCTGCAATCTGTAATGCTGCTGATGCTCCGCCTATTCTCTACGTGTACCAAGCCCTTTGGGAGGAATTTGACCGGCAACAGATCTGCCCCTGTACACAACATAAATAACCACTCCATCCACAAGAACAATTTGTAATCAAACACACAGCAAACAGCCAAGGGAAGTCAAATTGGGCAGCCCCAAGAGATTCACAGGTCTTACGTTTTTAGGGACAGCAAATTCATTCTGTTGTTTGTGTCAGGTTTTGGTGTCTGGAGAGTTAACAAAAGCTCCCTCTCTGAAGAATAAAAACACAATTGCAAGATACTGCTGCACAAGATAATTAAAAATTGATCATTTTCAACTTAAAGGAGCTATAGTCTTCTGTCAGCTCTGACTGCTTTAGTCTGGTGAGTTAACGTCTGCCTAGGCAGGAGCCGTGTGGGTTACAAAGCACTACTACCACCATGTTTCTGCAAAGTTCGCAGGACAGATCTAGAGCACCCAAACTCCCAGAGGAATAAACTGTGTACCTGCTACAGCTGCCAGCTTGTGCAAATGGCACGTTCATTAATGATGTTTCTAGGGGATCTGATATCATTCTTAACCTATTATAACCCCTATTCATAAACATCCCTGCTATGAACAGCCAGGAAGGTTCGGCTTACTTTTTCTGCTTTCCCCCGAGTTAAATTTGGCCTATTCTGTTAGTTTAGATTTGCAATAAATTTAGACACTGGTCACTAGTGAATTTAGAAATGAATCAGGTAGCTGTCTTTCCTTATAGGACTTATCTCCACATATATTCCCACTGAGTCCTCTCAGGAAAGGAAGTAAAAATGCATGGCCTCATCTGAATACCATACTGTTATTAAATTTCAATTAATTAATAGATTCAGTGATGGAGTAAAATTACAGGTATTTACTACTCCAGATACACAGAAAGCAGCAGATGTGATTCATTTGGGATAAGAAGGATTAATTTACTTTAAAAAATGGTAGTTTAAAGTTATGACACAATTCAACAACAGAAAATAGGACAGCTTTTTCTATGGAAAACATAGTCATCCTAACAGCTTTCATTTTACACAGAACAAGCTGGTGTGAACAACTTTACAATATAATAAGCCTCTTCCATTTTTTTATAGGCACTTTTCTGGCCCTGTAAAATCCGACTCCATTTTATAAGTGAAGCTATTGTAAGTACTTCCCATATCTAAATTTAAATAAATTATAAAAGCCAGGCATTACAATTCTCTAGACAGCTACTTGCATTTCTAAATTGAGTCTGAGATGGGTTTGTTTCTCAGGTTGTCTCCAACTGGCAACAAGCACCAAATATGTCTCTCATTGCAAAAGACATCCCATACTCCATAAGAAAGTGTACTGCATTGCATTTTAAAAAACAGCTCTAAAAGATTATCATTAGCATAATTTAACTGCAGTGAAACCATCACAAAGCACTTAAGGCTACTGATAAATGAGCACCATTTTATTTATCCAGTTCTGAATACAAGGACAAATTACTTCAGCCTGCATTAATACTACAATCATGAAGGAACACTGTGGACCAGACAGTGCAATGCGTGGTAAGAACACATCAGCATTGTTTGGAAAATACATATGTGCACACATGTATACATGTACATTCACACATATAATATGAAGTATTAGGTAGAACGTACTACATTTTGAAAAGTTTGCACATGATTGAGAAAATGAAGTGGTGTGTCCCAATAAACTGGGGATTCAATGGCTCCAGGGAGGGAAACAAGTCAATGGTGGACTGCATCCACATCTTCAGGAACAGAACAAAACCACCTTCTTAATTTTAACTGTCATCCCACTTGCAGCCCTGTGAAAAGAGTAGAGGTTGGCACATATCTGGCACCTCTTTTAAACCTTAACGTAGACTTCTCAGAAATAATCCAAGGCAATTTGAATAGTGAGGAAGTTATCATCACCTCCCTTTCTGTCATGTTTGTCAGGGGAAGATTTTAGCCTTCAGCCTCAAGAAGGTTGGTCTGGCACACTGCTTGAGCATTAGACTACACCAGGTCTCTTCATTCCCATTAAACTGACAAAAAAAATACACAACATATCTCCTGAAGTTCAAAAGCATGCATAAAAGTATGTACCAGCACCCTGTCTCTTATAGTGGACTGGCTGTTACGGGACACCTGAAACCTGTAGAGCTAAGCACATGATCTCTTTAGTAGTCCAGTATCTAAGGATTCTCCCAAACATGAATATCGCAGAGCAGAGTGTAATATAAAGGTCAATAATGAATTAGGTGTCAAATGCCTAAAAAAAACCCTTAAAAAGTTCTTTGAGCCAAAACAAGAATACACTTGCCACAAAAGATGGGTGTCCAAATTAGTACAATACATTGTACTAAGGATCAGGCTTTTGTTTGCTCTCCGTCTCCAGCTCAATAGATCTTGTGTTAAATATTCCACTCACAGAAAACTGAATTCTTTCAAATCGCAAGAAGGTAGGTGATGGGGGTTTGAAGCTACATGAAAAAAAAGTACTTGAACACAGGTTTCCCACATCACAAATGAGTGCTTTTACTCAAAGCCCAGTGCGGCTGTTGCTTTGGCCATGTTTCGGAATAAAGGAGTGCTGGTCCTGCCACTTTGCCTGTAGTGCCCTGCCTGGGAAGCGTTTTCAGCGTGACCTGCTGAAACTTCCTTGGTTGGGTTAGGCATCTCAGGAACTGTTTTCAAGAGGGTATTTTTGGATTCGGGTGCCTACTTTCTGCTGAAACTCACTGCAGGCACCTAAAATCTCATATAAATTTGCCTATAAAGCACAGCAGAATTCTGAAGCAAAAGATGTACGTTAAAAAAATCATTAACAGGTTTCTATTCTTCCCTTAACATAAAGCTTATTGATGACATTCTCATCAGTGCTTGTCCTGCTTAAGGGGAGAGGAACTTCTCCCTTAACCAGGCCAACGAGACCATGAAAATGACTTGGCAGCCTGAAGCCAACCTGCGACTGGGCAGAACGCAGGACACGGGCAGTGCTCCCCTATGCTCCCACAGGAAATCTGTCATGCAGGTACTTCCACAGCATGCTTTCTAACATGCACAGACAGGGTTAACATCCATGCAAAATATAACTCAAAATGCAGCTAGAGGAGGCACAAAACATCATCCTTCTGACTGCTAACTCAGTGTTGAAAAACATTTGCGCAGGACTGGAGAGACCAGGGTTCAGCCTCCTCCTCCAAACTTTACAGAAAGCAACCTTCAGAGGGAAAATAGAAGAACACTTCCCTCTCCCTCTCTCTACCTTTTCCTGGCCATTAGATAACAAAATCCTAATCTTTTCTGATCCAATAAATATCAGAATCCTCTCTGTGGGGGAACTAAGTGCAACTGGTAGAACTGTGGCAGGAAAGATGGAGAATACAGCTTCTTCCCACCACAGTCACACCACATCACTAATAATAACTGAGGAAGAAAGAGATGAGTGAGCGAGTTTTGACTAGATCAGATGGAGAAGGGAACTGACACCAATCTCTCCCTTCTGCCATGGCTGCTTTATTTCAATAAAAAGCAAACAACAGAATAAAAACTGTTTGCTTGTGTATGGGAGGATAGGAAGGTGTAATATGTCTTCCAATAACCATGTTTTAAAAGAAAATGACAAACCGTTCTCAGTTCTTAAAAAAAAATCACTTATTCTCATAAGTGAGGTTCCTGGCAGTGAATTCAAGCTGAGAGAGCCCTGCAAAATGACAAGCAAAACCACCGCTAAAGTTTGCCCATGTAGCCTACTTGCCTCAGATGTCAGCTATAAGCATCTCTTTGCCTCAGAGGCAAGCTGGCTGTCACCTCAGGTAGTGGTATTTTGGATTGCATTCAGTCCTAACTCTTCCTGGGCATCAGATAAAGAGCCTAAACGTCTACCTCAGGACACCGGGTTCCTCTGCAAAGGCGAGTACTTAAAGGTTTGATGTGCCGCCCAAGCTCTTAATTGGATCCAACCCTGTAATTTGTTCCACAATAGGATAAGCCAGCAGGATTATTTACAGCACAGCATGAAGGCAAATGCCAAAGAAGTGACAATGCAGCAGTACAAAGTTGTTGTATTGATTGTATAAATTGCCTCATTCAACAGCCTTAGGCTGACTATGAATATTTCAGTGTTGTAGCTCTCTTCAGTTTCACATCTAATGTCTTTCTTGAGTAAACAAGTGATGCTTGGGAAAGCCTTTCTCCCTTAATACAAAATAAGACATGGGTTCCCAAAGAAAGCTCAGCAGCAATCAATCGGAGATTTTAAAATTAACTGAGGCATAATGGAAGACTCTTACAAAACACATCTTCAAAATAATTCTGTATTAGCCTGATGGGTTTATTCCACTGAATTTAGAGGAGGCAAACTTTTTCAAAATATAATGACACTAGTACAAAAAAAAAAGTTATTGAAAATCCTGTGATACTGAAAGAAAATGAAGCTTTAAAATGGCAGTGTTCAGAGAGCACTGGCATTTTGTTGTGCTACTACTCTGCCCATCCAACCAAGAACTTAACAACAGGTTCCAGAAAAGCTGTGGCAAAGTGCTGCTGGATGTTTCAGCGTGTTTCTCTATCGCTTTTAATTTTGTGTAATGGCAATTGTGAGCTCTGCCTCAATTGCCATTACACAATTTTGTGTAACGGCGTCACATAGAGCCAATTACCAGCAAGGACCTCGTTCACAGATTGTGACTGGGGATGAGACAAGCAGGCGTCCACCCTAACAGTGCACTGGAGGAACAAGGCCTTGCCTAGCAAACACACAAGACGTGTATAACATGCCATCCATGTGCGTAACAGCTGTGAGAGTGTCTCTGCCACCCAAGCAGATACCATGGGTGCTAGAACTACTTTTTGAGCTGAAAGTTATTATTAGCAACCCTCTCTGCAAGAGGAGAGAAGAGGCTCTGCGGTCAGACACTATTATATCAAGTCCACACATGCTGGAGATGACAGCCATCTGTAATGGGAAGACAATTTTCCTCATAGACTTTCTGGCTAATTTTTTCTCTGTTCTTGGTAAAAATGTTTATATTACAGGCGGTTAGACTTCTCAGAATTTAAACACAGGTATTTGCATATTCAGATCAGCCTAGGGTATGCAATGTACAGAACTACTGGATAGCATGACCATAGACAAAGTGCGAGCCGGAGAAAATCATCAGGAGTGAAACGTTTTAAATTAACCTCTGTTTAAGGCTTGATCTGTGAGAGATGCTGAGAGCCCAGATCATACATCCCAATATTCAGAAACCAGCTCTGGAAACGTTTAACCGAAAAATTGCTATCTACCTCTGTCCACAGAACGGGACTGACGATACTTACAGAAAATCTTAAAACTTGTAGTCACAAGCATGCTATATAAATGCCAGCTATTATCATGAGCATGCCTGAAGTTGGCTCGACACTGTGTGAAGTGAATAGCAGACTGCACATTACCAAAAAAAACTTTCCGAAGGAAACATTCAACACTGTCAGGAAAAGAGACATGCTAGCTTCTTGCCACCTACAGGGGAAACACTAAAATCCTCATGGTCCAGCAGGTAACTACGTCTCAGACTCCAGTGTTTGGAGAGCAAATTGCCTCAGAACCAGAACTGCCATTAAATATGAACAGCATTGGGATTCCAAACTTTGTGCGACTTATGGAATCTTTTCTGGTTTTATTTAAAAGTTGAAGCATTTTAAATTTTAAATGCTTCTTTTTTTATAATCAGTCCACTTGACAAGGCTTTGTTTGGTTGTTTTTTTATGAAGAATAGCTGAAAGATCTCCTTTTTTCTTTTTTTGTTTTCCTAGTCCCACACCATGCTTCTGCTAATTGCCATTGATTAGCAAACAGCTTGCCAATTAACCCTGACAGGGTAGTCATAGGTTTGATAGCACTGCATGTCATCCAAAAGGTAGGGAGAATTTATCGTTAGTTTCAGACAATTAGCAAGGGGGTGGCAGAGCTCACAATTGCCTAAAAGCTAAATGTTCCAGAACTGCTGAGATAAATTACTGAATCAATTAAAACACATGATTGGATGTCTGTAAGTATATTTAAAGCTAGCAAACAAGCTTCTAGCTGTCATGGTAGTAGAATAAAAAATTAGTAGCAGGAGAAAGACTAGCAGGATTTTTTGGTGTTGTGTTTAGGGGTTGGTTGGTTTTGGTTTGTTTTTTTTTTTAAGCTGCTAGAGTTTGTTCTGTTCTACTCTGCCATTAACATTAGTTAAATATAACTAAAAGCTAGTATTGACTTAAAGCAAAAGCATCTAAAATGACTTTCCTTCCGAACTGGTTAACTTTTCTAAAAGGCAAAGAGATTGTTATCGCTAATGCTATAATTGCAATATTGACAATTGGTGGGCAGCAACTTTTCTCTTTTTTTACATTCAGCTGTCCCTGCCATGTGGGGCAGAACCTCATCTACGGGCTGGCTTTCCTAGGAGTTCCTGCACTGATCCTTCTGGTTGTTGGCTATGCCCTGAACAACCAGACTTGGAGGCTGGTTACAGGCAAAAGGTCTCCTCTTGAGGAAGAGGCTCCACCAAACCGGTTACTGCAATGCAAGCTGATCTGCTTTGTCTTGTGCAGCATCACTGGGAGAGCACTGGTTGCTCCAGTAACGTGGCTAGCAGTTACCCTGATAAATGGCTCATATTACATCTGTGCCATGAGTGAGTATGTCTCCGTGCATTATTATGGAGCTAATGTTACTGCTAGCGAACGCAGAAGGATATTGGCTGCATTTCCATGCAGTCAGTTAGTTCCTCCGGAGCTGACCCGGGCAAGAGATGAAGTGATTCTCCTACTCCGATACCAGTCACAAGTGAGTAACTTGTGTTGCTTCTGTTGCCTGCGGATCTAATGATGAGAACTAGAGTTAAATCAGCAGGCAAATTGTTAGGACAAAACAGGATCAGTATCTTCTGCCTTGAGTGCCAAATCTCTATGTGTTTTGAAGCCTGCTTTGTTCCTGTAAGTGGAACTGAACTTTAGGTACATAAATTGCTATGTCTGGTTGTCCCGTTTGTTACCTGCTACTGGAGGATATATTCTTCCTTGCTTAGTATCTTGAAAAGTAAGACAAATGGAAGTTCAAGAGCCAGGGAGGGCATGAAGTTTCTTCATTCAAGCATAAGAAACATGTGACTAAGGGGCTCAGGCTGCGAGAGCTCCATGTGAACCAAATTAAAACCTTGTTTTCAGATCAGACTCAATTCTAAAAGCTTACATACTGGGTAAATAATAGGGGGAACATTAAGTTGTCACTTCAGAGAAAATTGGTTCTAAACAGGCTATAAGCTAATACAGGCCAGGAATTAGATGGCTTCTCTTCTCACAGTAATAGCTGTGGAGGCAAAATCCTTAACAAATTATACAACAGAACTTCCTTAAACTTGACAGAAAGAAGCGACTTTACTATGTGGCTACCTCCAGTAGGCAGGGACTGGGTTTGATGGCAACAGACCCTTACCAGGCTTAACCTTGTTAACCTTATTATTCAGGAAAAGCAAGTAAAGATCATCTTACGGATTTTCTGATGCTCAGAAGTTACCACTGTGAGTATTTTCAGCTGTAACAGTTTTTTCTTTTCTTTTTCTTTGTAAGGTGGCTGGCTGGCTTCTGATCGCTGTGGTAGTCATCACTGTCTTCCTGTCTTACTGCCTGGCAAGCTGTTTCTCCCCCCTCAGCTTTCTACATTTCAGATACTGGAACAGCTATGTCCATAATGAGCAGGAGCTCTTTGATGAAGCGACAGACCAGCACTCCAGGCTCTATGCCATGCAGCACGTAAGGAAGTTCTTCGGCTTTATCCCAGGGAGTGAAAATGTAAAGGAAATCCGTATCCCATCTCTCAGAGAGTGGCAAGCCATTTCTGGACTGGCTTTTCTAAAACAAGTGGATGAGGAGCACTACGACTACAGCCTCCTCCATGACTGGGCGCTCAAGGAGTCTGTAGATGCAAAATACCTGAGGACTGATGAAGACCCTGTGATCAGAACACAGCCCTGAGGGTCCAAGCCCCCACCAACACCTTGCAGAAAAGAAGGAATGTGTCTAGGTCCACATCAAGCCTGAGCTGCTCTGAAACTTTCTGATGCCTTATTACATTGATATATAAAGTACGTGAGCAAGTACATCTTGTTAATGTAGTCCTTTAGCACGTGCTTACAGATGCTTTTCCTGATGGTGTCTGACTCTGTGGGATGTGATGGTTTATGCCTAGGTCAGGGTGGGCTGTTTCAAGCTGCAGCTCTCTGCTTACTCATCCTTTTAGCACAAGTATTAGAATGTATTGGGAGAGAAAGTTATTCCCAAATGCTTTTTCTTTCCTCCCATTAAAAAAACTTTAAAAATTAATAGCTAGACTTTGATTGGATCCTACGACTCGGTCCATTCTGTACAGAGCAAAAGCAGATATCCACCTTTGTCTTAGTGACCCCTAGCAGAAATGCCTTATTTCTCCTCTTCCACATCTTTTTTTGTACTATGAATAAAATATACTGACCTAACTACAAGCTAAGCCTGTGGCTACAGCAGCACAGAAGAAACATATGGGGAAACTTCAGCAACAAAGGCTGAGTCTAGATACAGTGATGAGAGAACTTTCAATTCTGGTAAGGAGATAAAACACTCACTGAGAGGCACAGGGTGGAGGGGTGCAACATGCAGCAGCTGGATGAACAAACACTTTACATGTGGAAAACTGAGTTCAAATATATTCTGGCTGAAAGCAATAGCAAGGTCAGTCTCCTATTCCTTTTACATATACTTCAAAATCTCTCGGGTGTTTGTGTGCTTGCCTACTGTGCAAATAGCAAATCAGGATGGGAAACAAATCTCACTCTGTGCAGTAAGGTCTGCTTTGCCTGTGAAGAACTTACAACTTAATCATACTACTGTGCCCATAAGTATTACTGTGATTAAAAACTACTGAATTTAGTGACAGGCTTAATGATGTTTTTGCATTAATTCAGTGTGGTATGATGTGATGTTACTGCATCTCATCTCCTTTCTAATTCCCTGTGGAGACATTTCTAACTCTACGGGTGGAAAAATGCATACCATAGTTTTTCCTAATGCTTCCTGTATTGCCTTGCCATGTGCACATGTACATGTATGTGCTACAAAGCCATATGCTAGATTATAGACTGCGATCTGCTGTTAATAAATGACCCCAGTGTTGAAGTGGAAAAATATAATTATTTAGTACACTTTACTAGGAAATGCAGGAACCAGAAGTAAGTTAAATTGCAGATCTTGGTAAATGTATCTGGTCTTGAAGATTTAAACTTCTAAATGAAAGCAAGCACTTTAGCAAATGCAAATGATGTATGTGTTTAATAACTCGAGAATGATGCGTATTTTGTATCATTAAACAAACTCTTACAAATTCCCACATGTATTTCATCTGAATCTTAAACTTTCAGGTATGTGGTGGGTTGACCCTGGCTGGACACCAGGTGCCCACCAAAGCTGCTCTATCACTCCCCTCCCTCAGCTGGACAAGGGGAGAGAAAATGTAACAAAAGGCTTGTGGGTTGAGGTAAGGACAGGGAGAGATCACTTGGCAATTACTGTCGTGGGCAAAATGGACTCAACTTGGGGGAAATTAATTTTATTTATTACCAATCAAATCAGAGTAGGGTAATGAGAAATAAACCCAAATCTTAAAGACACCTTCCCCCCACCCCTCCCTTCTTCCTGGCCTCAACTTCACTCCCGAGTTCTCTACCTCCTCTGCCACAGGGGGACAGGGAATGGGGGTTGTGGTCAGTTCATCACACATTGCTCCTGTCGCTCCTTCCTCTTCAGGGGGAGGACTCCTCACACTCTTCCCCAGCTCCAGTGTGGGGTCCCTCCCACAGGAGACAGTGCTCCATGAACTTCTCCAATGTGAGTTCTTTATGAACTGCTCCAGTGTGGGTCCCTTCCATGGGGTGCAGTCCTTCAGGAACAGACAGCTCCAGCGTGGGTCTCCCATGGGGTCACAAGTCCTGCCAGTAAACGTGCTCCAGTGTGGGCTCCTCTCTCCATGGGTCCACAGGTCCTGCCAAGAGCCTGTTCCAGGGCAGCCTTCCTATAGGGTCACAGCCTCTTTTGGGTGCATCCACCTGGTCT